AGATATTAGTATGGTTAAAGTGTAATGATGTTTCAGATATGTGTTGTTTAGCTAATGAATCAGCTAGGTTATTAAAGATATTATCAGTATGAGCCTGAACTTTGTGAAAAATAAGATGTAAGTTAAAAGATTAGATTAGGTTGAGAAGCATATGCCACAAAGGCCATAAATTAAACTTTAAAAGCTTGTTAGGATTGATAGTAGTAAAATTAAGTTTAGTAAATTTGGAAATAATGGATTGGGAGTCTGTATAACTTACTTGTTTTTATAATTAAGAACCTATTTAAATTATCTTAAAATAAAAATCATTGTGCAGATAATTTTGATTATTTTGATCATGCTAAATACCGTTACAAGTCTGGTTACATTCATGCAAAAAATGATAGTGTGGCTAATAGTCAACATCGAGATAGTGAAAATGTGCCCATTGAAAATTATTTGCATACTGAAGTCGAAATTGTGCATATTCTAATATTGGGTGCATTTTTTTTAGGTCATCAAACCAATCAAAAATAAAAAATGCATAAACTTTGCCATTATTTGCTTGGTGTATGATAATCACCTTGACCAATACAAATGAGATATTGTCAGGATCGCTAATTTCTTTTAACTCCACTACATCCCCAACTCGGACCTTAATGCGACAATTGGCTTTATTATCCTTTGCTAAAAACTCATCATCGTCCTTTACAACAATATAATTAATATGCTCAAAAAACGAAACCTTATACGTATTTAAAGCAGTGAGTATTCCAAATTCTTCACAATAAGCTTTATATAAATCTAAGTCAAGATTGTTGTTGTTATTGTTAAGGTTCTGATCATTAAAGCTCTCTTTCGAATCTCCTTATTACTTCAAGGCTTTCGAGTACGAATTTTTATAAAATAATTATCATTGCAATAAATCACACCTATAAGTATAGTACAAAATAAAAATTAGGCTTGATATTGATATAGTGAATTAATTTTTTGATATAGTAAATTTGCTTTCTAATAGACCCAATTGATTGAAATTACCATTCACTTTATCTTCTGCATCATTGATTAGATCAGGTGATTCTGCAATATACCAACTAGAGAGTATTTGTTTTAATAAAAAACAATTCATATCATAAATTAGTTTTGGAACATGTTTATCTTGCCCACCATTAAGGCAAAAATATAATACCTGGAGCATATTATAACATATTAAAAGATCAAGGTCAATATTTTTTTTGTTTGTATATAGTACAAAATTTTTGAATAATCTATATATAGACTTTTTGACACCACAAGCTGTGTTAACTAAGGTTCTATAATTCTTGGTATTTGCAATTAGATGTGCATTGATATGAAGATTTGGAAGTGAGAGAAATGATTCCAGAAATAACTAAAAATAGTATAATATAATAATAGGTTTAGAAAGAAATATGCATTAGGATACTGGGCCTTTTATGTCAAGAAAATTACGAAATCCTGATCCTACAATTATAGGATCATAGTATATCAAAATATTTTCTATATATATATTTGGAATTAAAGATAAGTGTTCTAATATTTCATGTTAAAAACTTAAAGATCAAAAGTTAGTTATATATAGTAAAATATTTGCCATAATTTTTTTGATATAAGGGTGCTGACGCAGGATTGATTTTCTGATACATAATGATCATAATTAGCCAGATACTTGTTTTGTTATATCTTCTATCCTAATTAATTTTCTTTACTAGATACTAGTACCTAATATAGATTCTAGTCTAACTAAAAATAAGGGAGAGTAAAAATAATAAAGGCATAAACAATTCTTATTAAATATTACTTTCTATACTAATAAATACTGTATTTATATTAATAATACTGAGTTTCAAGCTTTTATATAACTTAAAATCAATCCCATGCCAGAACTAAAATGACGCATAGTAAATGCTGGATATTCAATATATATTGTTTTTGATTCACATTAAATTATAATTTTATTGATTGAATATTAAATATTTCTACTAATAATTTTTAAACATCGAGAAAGATACTTTAAACAATAAGCAACGATGTAGTAAATGACCAGCATTTATTATGTATCGCTTTAGCCCTGTCTCGTGCATTATCAATTTCAAATAATATATAAATAAATAAATACTTTTGTTAAATGATAATGCTCTTTTTGTAATATCTTGGATAAAGTTTCAAAATGATCATCAGAAAATATAATAGCGAATGATTGTTTTACAGAAAAAGAAAGTGACATCTAACACTTTATGATTATACTAATCACCTGTTCTTGACGTTGATACTCTATTGTATTCATAAGATCAATAAGCATGCCTTCTTTGATATGTTGAATTCTTAGGAAGTGACTCAGAATATATGACATTAGCATAGCAAGGTAAAACGAGTCTAACATCATGAAACTTTTCTGGTAAGTAATAGAATTCGGTAATTTTGACCAAAACTTTGGTAATTTTATTGATTTCTATATTTTTACAAATGCATTAGTGCCTTCTTCATTAAAAAAAGCTAGTGTACATTCTATTAGTCTTTTTACTTTTTTAGCTATCGCATGATAAAGATCTTGTGGGTATTGTTGATATCGATCATGGTATAGTCGATCTAAAATGTTCTTTCTTAGGCACAGGCCATACCTTTTAGCAATTCTCATTTGATTTGTTAAATTTTCCTGGGATTGAATTTCAGAGAATTGCATATCTGTAATATGATGATAACGTGAAAATCATATAACATCAAAGTTATGATCTGTCAATTCTTGTGTTTCTGCTTTACAACTTCTATACCCATAGTTAGCTCCATACCATTTAACTCCACAGAGATCATTCCTCTGTGGCAAATCAGCAGTAACTACTCCAGGCCACCTCTGACAAAAACTTCTTCTCCATTATATATAGTCATCTTAATACCATCTTGTAGCCGTTATATATCTACTATAAATAATTTTATAAAATCTGCAAATTTAGCACCAAAAGGTACAAATCCTATAGAAAAATGATTTTTCAACATTTTTTGCAAACAAAATAGCATATTTCTGAATTGAATTTAAATGCCACCAAGCAAATGATAAATATTTTGGAAAGTCCCAAAATTGTTGTAATATAAATTGATAAAAATTCGCAAACATTGAAGACTAAATGGTATTGGAGATAACTTTATATACTCACTTAGATGTTGATGCTGATATTGCACAAGGTGAACTTTCCATGATTGATTATACTGTTAAACAATTTCATCTACAAAGTATTCTGGTTCTTCAGGCTCAGGTTGATCTATAAGTCGCACCTTCACTTGGCTTCAAATCTGTGTAGTTGGCATTATCATATATTGTTCATCAGCTAACTATAAAACTCCATGCTATGATTTTAAAAGCCTTTCAAATGAGCACAGTTGTGCTGGTA